CACACGCGCCCGGCGTGAGTTTCAAGCCACCGGGTCCGGGACACGAACCGCGGTCGACTACGTGGGAGTCCAGCGACATAGCCATTATGCTAACTGCTGGTTCCAAGTTTGGCAGGTTTTACGGATGTTCACCATGTTTGTGAGTGTGTTATCTGCACAGAAAGCTATAATTATTTTTAAAAAAATTTGTTACAGGGCACATGGACTCACCAGAGAGAGACAGAGGGAAAATGAGAAAGCAAGCCACCAGGTCTAGGATTTGAACTGTAGTCAGTCATGTGGGAGTCTAGTGCCTCAACTCCCATGCTACCTTCTGGCCTCACTGTTTCTTTCTTTCTTTCTTTTTTGGAGAGGTTTTTGCTATAGGGCCTATGTGCTCTCCAGAGATGCAGAAAGTGAGAAATTGCCCCCCAGGAGGGATGGCCATGCCTCAATCCCTTCTCCATTCTCCTCTCGGGATCTTGAGCTCACACACACACTTGCCTGGCGTGAGTTTAAGCCACCGGGTTCGGGACTCGAACCGTGGGAGTCCAGCAACATAGCCATTACACTAACTGCTGGTCCCCCCACCATTTCTAATTCTACAAATTTTGGAAGGCTATATTGTACAGCTGTATTTTCAAAGCAACAGACATGAAAGTGTATACACTTGATAGCAAATAGTTATATATAGTTATGTTAACAGAAATGAAGTTTTAATTATTTAATGATTTTGGTTTTTTTGTTTATTTTTTGGAAAGGTTTTTGCTATAGGGCGCATGCGCTCGCCAGAAAGATGAGAGAGACAGAAAGCGAGAAATCACCCCCTAGGGAGATGGCCACACCACAATCCCTTCTCCCCCATTCTCCTCTCGAGATCTTGGGCACGCACGCACACGTGCCTGGTGTGAGTTTAAGTCACCAGGTCCAGGACTCAAACCACAGTCTACTACATGGGAGTCTAGAGACATAGCCATTACGCTAACTGCTGGTCCCATGATTTTGGTTTTTAAAAATCAAAGTAGTAGATTAATCAACTAAATGACAATTTGCTTATGTTCTGCTTTAGCAGATTGATATTAGAAACTTAAAATACTGTACTGAGTTGTAATTTATTTTGAAGGCAGTTTAGTGCCTGCCTTCCATTTTTATTTATTCATAGTCATAAAGAAACTTTTCTGCTTCTTTGTTAACCTCTACCAATTTCTCATTTTAGGAGAAATACTCCTAAAGGAGAAAATATCCTTTCTTTATGTAATGAAGAAACCATTAGTGTTAGAAGTTGTGTTTTTTAAACTCTTTTTTTTAAGGAATTATTTTATTTAAATTTACTTACTTACTTACTTATTTTAATTTTGACCAGGGAGGGACAGAGCAAGATAGCGAGAGAGCGAGAGAGGGGAAGAGAAAGTAAGCTGCCAGGTCCAGGTCTCAAACCGTGGTCGGCCATGTGGGAGTCCAGTGCCCTTCACCACACCATTTGCCAGCCCCAAAAGTTGTTTTTTTTAAGTGGTTTTTAAAATGTGCTTAAGTGTTTCTAATGATGTTTGAAAACCTCATCCTTAGACATCAATTAATGTATGATTCAATAAATAACTCAGAAATTCATTATATTTGTTTTGAAAGGATGTTTTCTTTGTCTTAGCTCCTTGTATGGAAGATTTTAAGTTAATAGTATAGTACTGAATAAGACTGTTGTTAAACACTTAATGTATCATGTTTCAATTAATAGCCTGTTGTAAACTTAAGAAAAATATATAAAAAGTATCAGTGTTGGCTGGGACCAGCAGTTAGAGTAATGGCTCTGTCGCTGGACTCCCATGTAGTCGACCGCGGTTCACATCCCGGATCCGGTGGCTTAAAACTCACGCCGGGTGCGTGTGCGTGCATGCCCAAGATCCCGAGAGGATAATGGAGGAGAAGGGATTGCGGCATGGCCATCCCCCCGAGGGGTGATTTCTCGCTTTCTGTCTCTCTCTGTCTGGCGAGCGCACGCACACTATAGCAAAAACCTCTACCAAAAAAAAAAGTGTCAG